TTGTCTCCTTTTACCTCTTTTTTTGTCTCCTTTTGTTTCTTTTTTGTTTCCCCTTTTGTCTTTTTTGTCTCTCTTTTGTCTCCCTTTTGTCTCTTTTTTAATCTTTTTTTGTTTTTTTTGTCTTTTTTGTCTCCTTTTGTCTCTATCCCTTTTTTATTTCTTTTTTATTTTTTTCTCCGAATTGTCTTTCGTGTTTTTTGTCTCCAACAAATTTCACGCCCTTTGCATATTCTAAATGTCCAGTGAGTAGGGTTTAGGGTTTAGGGTTTAGGGTTTAGGGTTTAGGGTTTGAGGTTTGGGGTTTGGTTTGTGTGTTGCAGCTCAAGAAAAGAAACCAGACGCCTTATCATGTACGTCAGGGTTTAGGGTTTAGGGTTTAGGGTTTAGGGTTTAGGGTTTAGGGTTTGCAGGTCTCAGGATGAGTTTTAAGCTGCTTTTTTTTCCATTTTACCCCTTTTTGTCAATTTCTTAACCATCAATTGATTAATAATTTATATTATTCTTTTTATTTATTTATTTATTTATTTATTTATTTATTTATTTATTTATTTATTTATTTATTTATTTTGTTTTGCTGCAGCAGCAAAAACAGCTCCTTCGGCGCTGCTGGCGGGGGCCGATGATGATGACACTTACGCGGAGTGTTATCCTTGTAAGTTTTTATTTTATTTTAATTAATTAATTATTTATTTATTATTTGCTTTAATTAATTAATTAATTAATTATTTTAATTAATTAATTAATTATTTTAATTAATTAATTAGTTAATTATTTTAATTAATTAATTGTGTATTTATTTGTGTGCTTTAATTAATTAATTAATTAATTAATTAATGCATTTATTTGTTTACTTTGACTACTTATTTGCTTGCTTTTTTGTTTGTTTAGTTTTATTTATTTGTAAATCAATTTATTTATTTATTATAATTACTTTGTAGCTTGTGTTTTTTATTTTTATTTGCTTTTGTTTATTTTGTTTTGTTGTTGTTAGTTTCTTTTTCCCTTGTGCTTTGCTGTTTCTTTCAAACTCAACAGCTCACTAAACCCTAAACCCTAAACCCTAAACCCTAAACCCTCAAAGCCCCTTAAACCCTAACGAGCACGTCCTCGTCCCAACCCCTAAACCCTAAACCCTAGCTCCTTACCCCCTCCCCCCCACCCCGTAAACCCAAAACCCTAAACCCTAAACCCTAACCCTACCCCGTAAACCCTAAACCCTAACCCTACCCCGTAAACCCTAAACCCTAACCCTACCCCGCAAACCCTAAACCCTAACCCTACCCCGCAAACCCTAAACCCTAACCCTACCCCGCAAACCCTAACCCTACCCCGCAAACCCTAAACCCTAAACCCTAAACCCTAGGGTTTGGGTTTGCGTGCAGCATACGAGCGGGGCCAGTTGCTGGCGCGCGGGGCGGACAGCGACGACGAGGGGGGCCCCCCGAAGGAGGGGGGGGCCCCCCGGGGGCCCCCCCGGAGGGGCCCCCAGCAGTTCGCTAGCAAAGCTGCTTATGAAGAATATATGAATAGTATTGAGTTAGTTCCGAAAGCTGCTTATAGTTACGGAAGGAGAATTGCAGGAGATATAAATAGTTCGAAAAACAAAAAGAAACAAAAACTCAATCCCGAACAGGAGTGGAGAGCCATTGAAAAACTCATCGCCGAAAAAAAACAACTCTAAACCCTAAACCCTAAACCCTAAACCCTAAACCCTCGCTTCGGGGCCTCCCAGTGCTGCGAAGCACTCCGCAACGCCGATACCCTAAACCCTCTAGGGTTTAGGGTTTCGGCAGTGCAGCACTGGCAAACCCTAACCCTCTAGGGTTTAGGGTTTCGGCAGTGCAGCACTGGCAAACCCTAAACCCCAAACCCTAAACCCTAAAGGGTTTAGGGTTTCAGGGTTTAGGGTTTACGCCTTGCTTCCCGGGTCTCCTCAGCAGCAAGAGCCCCCCGAGGGCTAAACCCTAAACCCCAAACCCTAAACCCTAAACCCTTGTTTCCAGGCGCGCAGCAAAAGCCTCCCCAGAAGCCCCGCGGGGCCTAAACCCTAAACCCTAAACCCCCGTTGTCTTTTGTTTGGGGTGGGCGGTGTCAAACTGAAGGTCTTTTCTTTTTGCTTTTAAGAATTAAAAAAGGAAAAAAATAAATAAGCAAGGAAAGGCAAAGGAGGATTAAATAGAAGAGGAAACAACTTTTCGCACAGCTAGCTATCCAGCTAGCTAGCTAGCCAGCTAGCTAGCTAGCCAGCTAGCTAGCTAGCTGAATAGGTGCAGACAGTCCCGCTGGGTGGCTAGCTAGCTAGATAAGTGCAGAGAGCTCGGCTGTGTGGCTAGCTAGCCAGCTAGATAGCTAAACACAGCTAGCTAGCTAGATGGACGGAAGAGCTGCTAGCTAGCTAGGAATCTGGCCTGCTGATTGGCTTGCAAGTGAGCTAGCCGAGTGGCTAGCTAGTTGGCTAGCTGGCTAGCTGGACAGCTAGCTAGCTACTTGGTCAACTCACGGATTAAGCGACTCGCTCGCTAGGTACATGGTAAATAAAAAGGCAGCAGCTAGCTAGCTAGCTAGCTAGCTAGCTAGCTAGCTGGCCAGCTAGCCAGCTGGGCGCATAGTTCTGCGCTCAGGCAGCTAGCCAGTTAGCAATCGCTAGCTAGCTGCTGCTAGCTAGCAATAGCTAGCTAGCTACGGCTAGCTAGCTACGGCTAGCTAGCTAGCTAGCTAGGAAGCTAGCTGGCTAGCTAGCTGGCTGGCTAGCTAGCTAGCTGGAGTGGACGAAAACGAACTGCTGGGCCTGTTGGCCTTCTTGGTTGCTGCCCCGTGGGGGGGGGCCCCTGCGGGGGGCCCCCAGAGCTGTACCCTCTAAGGGTACAGTTCTGTGGCCATAGAAAAGGGGCCCCCATAAAGTGCTGCTGTGGGGGAAGAGGGCGCATGCACGGGCCCCAGCAGCAGCGAGGGCACGAGGGCGCTGCTGCGGCTGCTGCTGCTGCTGCTGCTGCTGCGGCCAACTGCAGCAGTGGGGGACCTGAGCCCCACGGAGGGCCCCGGGGGCCCCGGGGGCCCCTGGGGGGCCCCCCCTGGCTGGCTGCTGCTGCCCTGCAGCAGCAACCGGTGGGTAATGCCCTGTCTTTCTCTGAAGGGGAAGACGGCGGGAGCGGCTGCGTCGCTGCTGCTGCTGCTGCTGCTGCTGCTGCTGCGCGGCAGCAGCAGCGGGCAGCGCAGCGCCCACAGCAGCGCAGCACGCTCTGCTGCTGGCAGCTGACTTGGCAGCAAACCCCCCACTAAACAAGGAACAAAAACATTCAAGTATTGCTGCAGCTGCTGCAGCTGCTGCGCCCCCTTTGCTTCCTCAATGGCCCACAAGTGCAGCGCGAGCTCCGACTCCAGGTACGCCGCGCTGCTGCTGCTGCTGCTGCTGCTGCTGCTGCTGTCGCTGCTGCTGCTGTTGATGAGGGCCCGGTAAAGGTCAGTGACTAGTTTGGAACAAAGAGCCTTTTTGGAGTCACAAGAAGCAAAGACTTCCCTCATTGTGTTTGCTGTTGGCAAGCTGTAGGCAGACACGGGGGAGCCGCTGTCGCTGCTGCTGCTGCTGCAGCAGCTGCTGCTGCTGCTGCAGCAGCTGCTGCAGCCACTCATGCCGCTGCCCAAGCAGCAGCCGCTGCAGCAGCCGCCGCGCCCGCAGCAGCCGCTGCCGCTGCCGATGCAGCAGCTCCCGCTCATGCTGCTGCTGCTGCAGCAGCCGCCGCTGCTGCAGCACCCGCTGCTGCTGCTGCAGCACCCGCTGCTGCTGCTGCAGCACCCGCTGCTGCTGCTGCAGCAGCGCGGGTAGAAGCTGCCAGCAGCGGCCCCGCAGTCACAGAGCGGACACAGCAAGCTGCAGCAGCTGCTTTGCTGCACACACCCAAAGACAATAAAAACAATAAAAACAAATAGTTTTTAACTGCAACAGCAGCTAGCTAGCTAGCTAGCTAGCTAGCTAGCTAGCTAGCTAGCTAGCTAGCTAGCTAGCCAGCTGCACACGCCCAAAGACAAGAAAACAATAAAAACAAATAGTTTTTAACTTCAACTATTTCGAACTTTGGCTAAATTAAATTCATTAAATCTTTTTCAAAAGGTCTCCAAAGATCTGAGAAAAGCCTCACCACCAGAGGAGACAGCGACAGCTGGCGGCTTCCCTCACTGCCGCAGCAGCCCCAAGCTGCTGCTGCTGCAGCAGCAGCAGCAGCAGCAGCAGCGGGCGCTTGCTGCAGCAGCAACAGCAACAAAGCGAGTCTTTCTTCTCGGGCGCACTTCGCAGCACTTATTCACGAGAAGTGGAATGAAGAACAAATGCAAGAAACAAATTTAAAAACAGTTTTAATTCATTTGAGATTTGCTGCAGCAGCAGCAGCAGCAGCAGCAGCAGCAGCAGTTTGCTGCTGCAGGGAATTCTCTAGAAACACTTACATTTAAATTCGCACTCAGCTCCGCGCTGGGTCCCCTCAAACTCTCCTCCTCCTGAACTGCAGCACCAAGCGGCAGCGTCCCCGCTGCTGCTGCTGCTGCTGCTGCTGCTGCTGCTGGGGGTGGATCCTCTGCTGCTGCTGCTGCTGCTGCTGCTGCTGCTGCTGTTTCTGGCTCTTCGGCGAATGCACTGGGGGCGCCTTCAGTGCCCAGAAGGGGCCTTTCTGCTGCCAAGTCTGCTGTTGCTGTTGTGGCTCGCGTCATGACATCTCCGTCTCCCTTGCTGCTGCAGCTGCAGCAGCTGCTGCTGCAGCTGCTGCTGCAGCTCCCGCTGCAGCTCCCGCTGCAGCTCCCGCTGCAGTTCCCGCTGCAGCTGTTGCTGCTGCCGCAGGCTCCTCCGAAGACGTCGGCGGCTTGTTCCTGCGCTGCGAGTCTCTTGCACTCGCTGCCTGCACTCCCTGCTGCTGCTGCTGCAGCAGCAGCAGCAGCAGCAGCAGCAGTCTCCGCTGCTGCCTTCTCCCCCTCCCCGCTGCTCCCCTCCTCCTCCCCGCCGCCCCCTCCCC